TGTGTCGAGCGTTCACCAGCATTTGTAGGGATTAGAAATGTGTACTTATCAATTTAGCGTTTTGAGCGTAAGCGACTAGGAAAGTGTACGTATTGGTTACGGTTGGGAACGCTAGCGGACGCTGAAAACGCTGGTAAACACTCAAGACACCGACGCTTAATTGCTCCAAAGGGTGGTGGGCTTTGGAAGTCGGCCGTTCAGAGGATGAGTCGATACATATACTTTTCTAGTCATTTTCTAGTAGTATTTACATAATGCTTGAAACGTGCAAAACGCTTTCGAACGCGAAAACACTGCCGCAAAGTATGAACGCTTTGTAAAAGTCATTGGAGACACATTTTGCGAGTTGTTCTTTTCTTTATCTCCTTCTCCTAGACTGACATCAAATTCCACGTTTCTGGCAAGGATTGTAAGCATGACTCGCTTTCTGTGATCGAAACTATTACCTTCGACATTGCCCCAGTAAAAGAGGGCTACTGTGTGAGTATTTTTTGACAGCTCTTCATGGTAATGGTAAGCTGCATGGCAACATGTCTCTCTCTACCTGTCTTTTTAGATGTCCCTAACGGAGAAAGTAATGTTGGAAAAGACTGCCAATTCGGATCTCTCCCAGAATGATCGCTCTGTTACGCAATTTATGGAGCTCATTTTCAATCAAATGGCTGTTACGAACCCGTCAGTTTCTTAGTAGTAACACCGCTCATGTCCAAGTTTACTTGTTCCTTTACAGTCAAGAACATGCAGTATTCGAAAACGGGAAGGTATTCATGTGTCATCCGTGGTTGTTTGGCTTTACTGAGAGAGACTGCCCAGATGTTGGTGGTGGAAAGCGACTCTTCCCTGGTACACAGAAGAGTGTCCGCTTCATAGAAGGGCCTCTGGGACGTAATTATAACAATCCGGCCCTTATCATTGACGGTTAGTTTGATTTTCGAGCATCAAAGTAAAAGTATAAGGTTTGTTCCACTGATCAACGCGGGACGGCACGCACTCTAATTCCATTCTGAATTTTAGTGACTTATTGAATGCGATGTAGCCTACAACTCATTCGCGAGGGTCAGCAAAGGTGCAGTTCAATTTCTATCCTCCTGGACAAATCTTGCACTAATTCACTGGCCACGCTGGCTGGAAGGCTACGTTGGCTCGAGCCCACCCGGGATTTCATCCTCTGATCGCGGCGGGCTTTTTTGACACTAAACCACCTCCGCACATAGCATCTGGAAATACGGAAAATAATCTAGGAAAACTGGGTATGGTGCAAACAACGACTTCGGCTAGGGTCACTATTTATGAGGTACGAACATCTCCGTCCATCAAAGAATTTGGCTCGAAACCTTTTCCCCCTCCATCTTTAACCTGGGCCAAAGTCCTCTTCCTCTGGCACACTAACAATTGAGCATTTAACTACGTTTAGGATTTGCAACAACTTACTTTAACCGGTAGTGGCGAATGTTCGGCTTCCCCTGCGCGAGGCGGGGGTCGAATCCCAGATGGGTTCCCGCCTCCAACCAGGCCCTCTACCCTTCCGGGACAGGGAATCGGTAGCATATCCGATCGTATGGATAAGAACCTTTACATCAAGTTGTTGTATGGACCAATCGCATTCAATAAGTTTTTTCGCTTCCAAATGGTAGAAGGCCTTCCGCATCTCCGTTTATGAAGCAAGCAGTGGATGTGTCTGCAAAGAATTAGGCGTGTTTGTTAAACTGATATTGGACCTAGCATAATACCTTTTTTCAGCCAAAAAAGCTGCGTTTCATGAGGATATACCTTTGATTGAGAAAGCAAAACTCATTCTCGATGATAATCTGGAGGGCAGACTCACAGATATGCAACTGGAGCGGCTGAACTCTAGTCTAAGAGGTAGGCACTTTTGCTGGCTTCAAGTTTTTTGTTGAGTCACACACTTCCTTGCACGCCCTGGTCCGAAGACACCATATCTTTCGGGCACAGTTTGGCGACGAGGAGGTGGGGCATCTTGCATCTTCGCAGCGCCACTAGTTCCGTTTTAGTCTCACTGAAACGTGAACTCCTGTAAAGAAGGGGCAAGCTCGTCGAGCCACCGTGGTTTGTGTGGTATTTCATTACTTTACAAGGGTTGACAGGCGGTCTCTACAGAGTTTGGCTGATGTCATTTCGTGGCTTTACAAGCTCTCAGAGGTCCTCGTGATGGCTCGAAGGGAAGTAGCAAAAGTGCGGAGTACCATCATTTATCCTACCGTCGCCGAACTGCGCTTCTTTGGGGCTCGGGATCACAGGCTCTGTGATCCTAAGCGCCCAAGGATAACACTCACCTTTTGGGTTCGTACATGCATGAGATCATCTTCGCAGAAAGAGTTTCAGGCTTATTCTTCTACACAAAACACATGGGACCCGAGTGTGATCATCAAATTACTGGTGTAACAAGGCACACTGCCATAGAGACAACGTAAGATTTAGTGCTTACATTAGTTTTCATACATGTCATATTGGAATGATTTTCCTGCTTGGTCCTCCTCGGCATACAGTCTTGAATGGCACGTCAATAACTTGGCATGCTGTTTAGAACTTTACATCAGAAAGAAAAGCATGACTTTTGTGTCAGCCATCAGCCGGTAGAAAAGAGGATAGAAAGCGGGTAGAAAAGTGTGTTTGGAAGGTGATTTACCCGTGAAGAAAGAGCAAAAAAAAATCGTTGAGAGGGTGTTCAGTGAGACTTTGCCCCTGGTCCTTGTTCCATACTAGTGGCAAGGATTTGCATTTCGGGCGATAGGCTATGCAGCAGAAGTGAAACAGCATTCCAACAAACGAACGGCAGACCTCAATGCGGGACGAGGTCATTTTGATAGAGATCTCAAGCCATGGCGCCCGCCTAAGAAATTTCTGACCTAAAACTGGTCTTGCAAACTCTTCGGTTGCCTGGCTCACAGAGAACTTGCTCATACAAGTGCGATCCATATGTCAGGTCTCTACAGTTAGCGATGGGGCGCAGTAGTCATCACCGGTAGAAGGGACTCCACCTGTAGAAGTTGCTCCGTTTCCTGTGGACTGAAGTGTGTGTGTGTGTGTGTGTGTGTGTGTGTGTGTGTGTGTGTGTGTGTGTGTGTGTGTTTTCCTCATTTACTCGCCTCGTAAAATGATTACGCATTGCCTGGGCCTCACTGAGGTCATTTTTGAGAATCGTTTTTCTTCTTTTGGTGAGTCAGCGTTTAGAACTGTCATCTGGATCCCATCACACGCGATTCGCCGTTGCGGGTTTACTTGCTTTGAGGAGGCAGCACTGCTCCCTTGTGCGTCAGCCTAAGAATTTTCTGACCCACAACTGGTCTTAAAGGCACATTTTTCGGTTGCCTGGCTCACCGAACTCCTTGTACAAGGTTGATCCGTAGTATCACAGTTGCCCCGTAGTTCTACTGGGTGCGAAGGGCGCAGCAGAGCCATGATAGAATGAATCGCCGTAGAGGTTACTCCATTTCAATGTACTCCATTTCATGTGGGCTTAGATGGGCGCTTGTTTTTGGTTTCTCGCCTCTCCGAGTGCTTACTGGGACCTTTCTCGAGTCGTTACCAAGGATTCTGTACACTTTTTTCCTCGTAACTCCGCGTTGACAAAGACGTGCGTGGACCATTACCCGCGACTTGGCGCATCCGGGGAATGTCGTTAAACACGAATATGCCTTTGTCGACATGGTACTTACTTTCTACAGAATTTTCCTACGAACAAACTGTTTGAGCTCTCCTAATCGTGCTCTTCGAAGTTAGGCTGCCTAATCGTTGTTCTTGCTTGAAGTGTTCTTCCTTCAGTAAATCTTTGACTACAACCTCTGTGGATTTTTTTTGTTACAGATTCGAAGACCGCGATGGACGGAGGATTTCCGTATTTGATTATTTCGAGGAGAAATACGGTAGAAGGCTGAAGTGAGCTATTTTCGGTTTTTTATGTTCGCTGCCAACGGAGTTAATACAGTCTTGTTCGCTGTGGACGCTGGTTGTGTCAGAAGGGCTGAGTTTGACGCTTTGCCAATCCGTTGTCTACAGTTGTGGGAAATGGAAGGCTACCAAAATGGGTGGAGAACGAGTTGGCCATACCCAGCCTGTCCTCCCCCCCCTGACACGCCCAGGCATCTGTCAAAACTGTAATTCAAAACTTAATTTCTGTGTTTTCCGGTATCCACACGCTCCATTGATTAAAGTTCGTGAACGTGGTCGCAATAACAATTATCCCATGGAGCTGGGATACCTGCGTCCAATGCAAAGGGTCACAATACCACAACAGACACCGGATCAGAGTCATAGAACAACAAGGGTGACTAGCTAGATTCACATGTTTCCATATTGTCTTGATTGTTTTTCTAACACTTTACTAGATCTGCGCCGTCCCTCCTGGTGAACGCCAAGACAATATTGCTCGAGGGGCTCGAGCCTTGAAGTTGTTTGGATCTGAAGATAACCCATATGTCACAAGTGCTGGCTTGTATATTTATAAGGACCCTATGAAGGTATCGTACTGCTCATTTCAGTATACTCTGTCCATTTCATATTTTGTTCTGCAGGTTGAAGGAAGGCTCTTACCACCTCCTAAGCTGAGATATCGCGATGACTTAGCTGTTGTTAGAGATGGGAAATGGAGGTACGTTTTCTAAACAGTTACCGTGGTTTCCAGTTTCTCCCGAGAGCTGTGTTTAGGACTCCTCGTGGACATCTTTTAATACCGGCAGAATGCGGAGTGTGGGCCGTTTATGGCTTGGTAGCCAAACAAAACAAGAGAGATGTCCAAAGGTTAATAACGTGAGTTTGCCGGTATCTCTTGTCGACCCATGTGCTATTTTAAACCTTTTCGATTTCAGACAATTCGCCGAAATCTTCTTCAAGGAAGCCTGTAACCGAGGACTACGTCTTCCTCACCCCTCTGAAATTCTGGTACGTATGATAAGGTTGCTTTATGTCGTGATATTCTCTAAGGTGAAGGGTTGATAACAGGGTTTATTCCGCTTATTGAAAGCATTTTGTACTTTCGCTGATTTCTTTTGTTACATATTGTCAACTAGAAGGTATCATTTTGACGTGAGCTGTAAACTCGTGCGAAGCTGCGAAATTGTGCAAGTGGGCCATTCGGCGCCCCACCAATCGGAACCGCGCCCTGCTTCATTTTCCTGTAATATCAATTTATTGCGAGAACTGTTTTCCTGTCTTAACTTGAAAAATAATGGGTATTGCTCTAACAATAAAGGCCATCAATCTCACACTATTTGATCATTGGACCGCGATCATACCCCACGACTTGGGCAATTCAGTCGCGCGACTACGATCGATCGTTGCTCGGTGCTAGTCGTTCAACTGCTGCACTTTCTGTCGCAATAACACCACAAATAACAGTGCCAGTCAGATGATAAGCGGTAGAGCGCGTTTGGTGGTAGTGGAACCCCACAGTCTGGGGCTGAATCGCTTGAGTCGCTAAGTATGAACTTTCGGTGTCCACCAGCGCCTTTATATACGCCTGCTGACATCGAATTGGATTGACTTGATTTCAGGTCGTCGACAACGAGCATGAACTGCGAGATGTCCTAAAAGAAGCCGCGCACCACGATTGCAAATACTGTCTGATTATCACCGCTGACAGCATTACTACTGTCCATAGTTTGTTTTTTTTGACGTGTTTGCAGAGGGTAGCTAGAAGGTCAAGTGATAGCTGAGTGCTCTTTTAGTGCTTAAACTTTGACGCGGTCCCAGGCGTTTCTAAATGTCAAAGTATTGTCGTGGAGGTGGTTTGCCGCATCAGCATAGTCTTGGTTATCTTGGGGGAGAGCGCCTTTGTCTGGAGTACATGGCCTATGGACAGGCAAAGGTAGAACAGCGGTCAGAATTCCAAGTGCCCACGAGCAGCGGGGGCCTTAACCTCTTCTGTAGCGTCTGAATCCGCGGTGACCTGCGCGCTTCAACTGCAAAAGCGCCCCAGTTCTGTCGATGTAAACGCAGCCGCGAACGGGAGTTGATCGGTATGGAACGGCATTGGTCAATAGTGCTCTGGGAGTGTATAGAGGAATAAGAGGACGCCAAACTGTGTAAAGGCAACGCCTTCCGTCCCGTTATCGTACACTCTCAAAGCGCAACCGGCCTGTAACGTGCGACGACACCCGTGCAGAGTCTGGATTCTGTCAGATTTCGGTGAGTTCTAGATTAATGTGAGTGCAGCTTGGGCTTGCTTGCCCTCCTTTACTGACCATTTTCTATGACTGATGCAATTCGATTAAGTTCCCTTGCATGTTGCTGAGCGTCGGTCGCGACCCAAGATGTTAAATATTCGAGGATAAGGGGTTACGGAGGTGAAAATGCCGCGCTGAAGGTTGAAGGGTGAGCACGGCTCCTGGCTGTCTCCTATCCGGTCTAGGCAAACCCATGGGCGTTAGGCCACTGAATTCGCGTCACACTCCTCGAGTAATAAGATTGACTTTAAATCGGCTGCACCTCGCTTTCTATTATGTTTGTCGTATCGCACTCACTCAACTATCGCAACAGTTCTAAGAAGCGCCGAGTCCTGGAATTGGACTGATTAAAGCTTTTAGCAGCTGCATTTTTATCTTTTTATCAGAACATCACACTTTTCTGGATATCGTGACATGTGTTCCTCTAATAGGCAAATACTGTGTCGGAACTTTACTTCGAGTGAAGTTTCCTCCAGCTTGGAGTCTTTTCGATCTGTTGAAGTGAATACCTATAGTAGCGAACTTTGATTGAGCCAAAAACGGGATTTTGAAAGGGACCATTACCAGGTTCTACCTTACTTTGGAAGTGTTGTAGATATAGATGACGTCAGCTAGTATCAGTTGATTTTTCCAGAATTGATCAAACTCTGGGAACGGGAACTCGAAATGGTCACCCAGGATGTGAAGCTTTCCAATGTGGAGAAGGTTATCGTTTTGCATTTTTCATATCTGTTGGTTTATTGAACGTTCGAGATTTTAGGTAGTAAAGGAAAAACGCATGGTTACGATGGAGAACATCTTGCTCAAGGCTAATTTAAAGCTTGGAGGCTTGAATTATGAGATAGAGATGAATGGGCAAGTGGCAAGCGATGAAGTAAGGTATGACCTGATCAAATACTGATTGAGGGGGGGGGGTGTTCTTTGTCACCGATCTCGTTGTCAGCGTTTTCAGACTCTGCGGCTGGGTTTAGAGCGTTTTAAGCGACTAGGAAAATATATGTGTTCATCCATCGTTTTATGTGTCCAGCAGCGTTTTCTGCGGTACTCCATATTTACACTTTCCTAGTCGCTCAAAACGATCGAGACGCTCCATTGCGCAAAGTATGAACGCACTGTTACTTGTAAGAACATTCTTTCGTTGAAGGCGCTGTTCGGGATTGCCCGTTGGGAGCCAGGTGACGACCCCAGCGGTGCGCCTTACTTTCCAATTCGTTAACCGCTATCAAAGAGGGGAGCCGCACAAGCGAAGTGTTTTCTGGCCCTGCCCACCATGCAATCCTGGACGGTGACTGTGAAGTGGTTCTTTTCACGGAATGTGGTGAAATTCTGAATGTTAATAATTCAGAAACTGGATTAGACCTGGACGTCTCCTTCTTGGAATAGGCGTAAGTCATCCACCGCCATCGGGAAACTTCGACGCAGACAAGGCAGCTCCTTCGGTTGTTGGTGTACGTAGAGTTTAAGGGAAATTAATTTTATTGCTCATTTATCATATTGTTTTTAGTACGCGGCAAATTTCAAAACGAATCCTTATGACTTTGTTGGAGATTATTTATTCCAGAGTTCGAGGAGGGAAGAAGTTGGTTCCACGTCTCTCAGACCGCGTTCAGACTTCGCGATCGCGCGTTCGGACCGCGCGACCATGCGGAGGCATTCCACCGTCAAACGTTGCTTCAACCGCAACAGCATAATTCGAATCGGCACAGTGTGAACGCGGCCCAATTCGAACTCTGCCGTTGCAGCCGCTCACCGTTTGGCGGTGGAGCGGCCCCGGTAGTGGTCGCGCCGTCCGAACGCGCGATCGCGAAGTCTGAACGCGGCCTCATGTGCAGTTTTTATTCCCTCAAGTCACTAACTATCCACGTTTCAGACGGTGACCACAATGTCTGATATTGTCAACAACGTGGTTCCGAAATTTGCGGAAAACCATGGTGGAAAATTCCCAAGAGATCTCATAATCTATAGGAGTGGTCTTTCTGAAGGATCTTTCAGCACGGTGTGTTCACCTGCATTTCAATTGATCTGACTCATTTGAACGGATTTCTTACAGATGCTCACTCATGAAATACCTCTTCTTCGAGGTGCACTTTCTACATTAGGTGTGAAGAATGTCAAAATTGTATTCATTGTTGCACAAAAAGAACATAATGTTCGGCTTATGTTGGAACGCGTAGGTTTTTTTTTTGATCATAACCATTTTTAATTTCGTTAGGCGCAGTTCGGCTTGGGGGGGGGACAGTAAATGGTACTAATGAAAGCCTGTGCAGGGCGTTTGTGTAAACCTTTGCACCATTACGCGGCCTCACATGTGGTTAGATTTTATCGAATTGAGGCTCGCTAGTTAATATGAACAAAAAAAGAACAAGTGAGGCGTAAAGTGCCCCTCCCAAGCCAAATAACGCCTTCTCTTTATTTGCTCCTCGAAACGGATAAAGGCTGATATCGAGACCTGTCCATTTAAGATTGACCGCACCCGTAAACCCACCGAGCAAAACATTCCTCCTGGTGTTGTTGTAGATCAGCAGCTCACTCATCCATCATTCAAGGAATTCTATCTTAACTCGCACATTACTTTGCAGGTTCGTTTGTACAGCTATACCATTTTTGCTTATAAAAAATAATCATCTTAAGGCAAGCTGTACAATCACTTGTGAGACGGTCCACAGCTGCAGTAGCGTGCCGCATTCGCGCTCAAAAGTGCACGTGAACGGGCTGTAGGATGGTGGTACCCGAGTGCTGTTCCCCTACTCAGCTCGGCTATCTCGTGCAGCGCTTGAGCCCACATCAACGTCCCACTGCGGAACGCGAACTCAGTGCTAAAGGAAAGAGAGAGCACAGGCAAAGAGCGCGTTTTCATGGCTAGGGGCCTCGCTGACCGTGTGGCAGCGCGGGCGGAGAAGGGAAACGGCACGGCGGTACCACTATCCTCCAGCCCCATTTCAAAGCACTTTTGACCCAGAAACTGGCTCGTTACTGCAAATGCAGACCCATTCTCCTACACACATGGCAAGACCAGGGTCTACCGAGGTGAATCTACAGGTTATCTTCGAAGCATAACTTTACAGGGGTCTGCTCGCACTCCGCGATATACTGTACTAGTTGACGATTTGAACTTATCGATGGATGAACTGGAAGGAATGACATACGTCCTCACTTATGATCATCAAATTGTGAATCTCCCCACATCCCTTCCAACGCCTTTGTATGTTGCGAATCGTTACGCGGAACGAGGTCGTAACACATATGCTGCCCACCTGTAAGTTCGAATGTGCGTCCACGTGTTTAGTTCCCATTTCTTGAGAAACTCCTTTTCAGCATTTGTTCGGGCTCAGCCTCGTCGGATTCCGGATCATCTATCGATTATGGACGCCTTGCCCAACAGCTTTCCTACAATGATACAAAATTATGCAACATTCGTGTGAATGCGTAGGCTGCCATTATGGTTTATCAGGGTGTAGCAACACTCGCAAGTATGTTTACAACTTCCATGAAACTTTCAATGGAGACCTCGGTACATCAGTAGAGCCCCGAACGCTATTAGCGAATATGCAGATTATCGATCGCAGAACCTGCACATTCGCAAAAGCTTTCGAAACTATCGACATACCAAGGTCTGCTTCGAAGTTCCATGGGAATTTGTAACAGTTCCTTTACAGATTGTCGCGTACATCAATCGGGTATACTCATTGTGGGACGGGGAGGGGGGGGATTGCTGACAGGACGCGAGATATACTAATCCTGATTGACGATAGGAAATTAAACAAGCATCGGGTCAAATACGGGTAAGAGTTCTTTTGCCCGAGAGCGCACAATGCTTGCTTTTCTTTGACTGTACGTGCTGATGAGGCGTTTCTACACCCTTACAAATTGTGGTGACTGCCTCGTAACTTCACAAACGTTTCTTAAGCATACATTGCATACAACAGTACCGGTTTATAGTTATGAATTATGATTAGAAAATATCATCAAAGTGAATCGTTCATTAGCTTAATACGTCCAACTAATACCCATTTGTTATGTTACTTGTTGATTTTTTCCCGTGTTATGCTAACAATTTTTATCAAATGCAATGTTGTTGTAAGTGTTCATCATTGTTTGTATTTATTTAGGTCTGATTCAGCGAAGAAGCTTCTTTTTTTGTTGTTTTCTTTTACCACACACGGTTTTCTTCCCATCATCTGCTTACTTTTCTTCATTTTTACAAAAACAACAGTGATTTCGCCGTTGGAGATGAGAAATTTTATTGAGTTCACAGTCGATATCGTCGCAGTCAGTCGTGGATGTGCCAGGAGGCAAGGAATGAGATAGTCGGCAATGTTGTCTGCCGTTTTCTAGAACTGCTCGCTATTGGCAGAAAGCGCAGCGAGGGACGGGCATGCCTCCTGACAGCGCCCCGACAGGTTGCGATGATATTAACTAGCCAAATCATTCTTCGGAGTTGAATTTCCGCTCTATCCCTGCTCGTATGGTCCCTTTTCCAGGAACTTATAAATGCCTTCACTGAGTCGGACCCGTTCATACTCAGCGATTAGAGGGAAGCAAGACAAGCAAATCCGTAGGGATTGAATACGCATTGATCATGAGAGAAGCCGAAATGGATGGGGTATTGATTGACCGGCGGTATGGAAGTGTCGATGTCAGGGCACGTTCTAGCGTCACGGAAAATTTTCCGAGACGTGACCTCTCTAATCTTCCCAGTGATCTGACAGTTTTTGCCCGCGAGTGGGATCGGGATGGACAATTCTGATCAGCTACTGACTGATGTCATATGATGTCACGCCAGGAGAATATGTAGCCCGCCTGAAACAGGAATAATTGAAATTCGGAAAAATCTTCGGCGCAGTACGACCCCTCTCCTCCAACAGCCAGTTACTAAGAAATGTTCCAGCATGCGACGTGCCCTGGTTGCTATCCCTTCAGCAAAGCCTCCCATAGACGGTAACGAGCCAGTCATTTTGTATCTGATCCTTCTCGACAATCCTTAAGTTTAGTAGAGCAGTGCAGATCAATGCTTATACCCTTTTCGCAGGTTCTCCCATTCTCACTTCAGTTCTGGGTATGAATGCGACCTCTCCAAAGACAGAATCGGGCAGAAGTCGAAGTAATGGAAAACGTTCGCAGAATTTGAAGCAGCAGTGTCACGCCTCAGAATCGCTTCCCGCTATTACGTGACGTTGGGAAACCCTTTTCCGCCAAATGGGAGGGATAATTACCGCTTGCTTTCCACCCATTGAAAGCACTTTGGCCTTAGATTCATGTATCCATGGGTACGGAGGCCTAGCTCCCGAATGATTCATGGCCCCTTCAGCAACCATTTATAGTTCTGTTTCACATTGCCTTTCTCTTGCGACAATTTTGACATGACAGCAGGGATTCTCTTAAAAGTAGCGGAAATAGGTGCCTCTCTTGTAAAGTAGAATTGACAGTTTCAATGAACTGTAGCAGCATTCACGCTGCATAGTAATAGCAAATAGTCTGCCACTTTAAAGAATCCGTGAAAAAGATGCGTATTGATCGGAGGACTCCGAGTCTTGGATCATTAGGAAATAGGAACTGAAAAGAACTAGATACGCATTGATGGGCTAATGCCGTTTGGACTCCAGAAATTTCGGCACCAGCCCATTTGTAAATTGCCTAAGTCACCAAATCCGCCAAAAACTTGTATATAGGGGTAGTTTAACATCCTGATTACGAATATGACATTCACTTTTGTCGCTGGCGTCAAGAGAGGACACTACGATTACCTCCTGGGCTCAGCCTTAGCAGAGCGCAGATAATCGTAGTGTCATCCATTAGCGCCAGCGACAAGAGTGAATGTCATATTCTTAATCAGGATGTTAAACTACCCCTATATACAAGTTTTTAGCGGATTTGGTGACTTAGGCAATTTAAAAATGAGCTCGGTGCCGAAATTCTTGGAGTCCAAACGGCATTAGCCCGCATTGATTACCCTTGATTAGGTGGACAAATGACAGATTCACCGATGAGGACGAAATCTAAGAAAGACTCCTCGAAGGGAGTCATATTAGATCTTCAACTTACTCTCGGAATGCGCTGTACGTAGTTGATAATGTCGCAAGCAGTTGCAGCCCCCCCCTAGTTGTCGGCATGGCAACTTAACTATTTTTTGTAGTAATTCGTAGAAGTTGTTCTCCCCCCCCCTCTCGCTTAACGGATATTGGTCGGATACGGATGAAGGACGTGTTTAGGAGACTTCACCGTGTGAACGGAGTCTTGGATGAGTCGATTAGACTGACTTACCCCTCCACGTTATCAAAAACCCACGATTCCCCAATTCTTCTTGTGGATACGTACCTGCACTTCGCAGTACCTGTTGTTTTCGAATTGTGTATGGTCCCCGACTGTGAAGAACCATGAATATCCCATGAGTAAACATTATGGTCGTGCTGCCAACTGACCACTTGGCAACACTGCTTGGCGGCTGATGCTAGCGTTATTTGGACGAGTTATCTCGCCTCTCGCGGTGCGGCAGGAAATTTATTGCCGTGCGGTGTTGGATGACTTTCGGTGCGATTCTTATTTGTTGCCGTCCTTCTTTTTTCAGTGCTTCTTAACACGTTCTCAAGTGACATTTATAATAACCCTCAGGCATTCAACTTACTTGTTGGACGTCTACTGGTTCGTTAGTTGGGCCTACCCCTGTTTCGAAAAACTCGTGTATTAAGCGCTTACTTACTTTTTATCTCTGCTCTGCGCGAAACATTTGATTCACTGACACATTGGGTGTAACTTCGAAATGTCTTGATGGAACGTTTTTGGTTTTCCGGCAACAATGGTCTTTATATGGCTCGAATACTGATATGCCCGCTCGCCCACAAATGGACGGCTGCCTGATGCTCGTATCGCTTCATTTGCGAAGTACAATATGAAGCGAAGGGATTGATATGAAGCGGCTGCGGTGCTGCATGGATATATGAGTACATACATGCAGCCGTATCTACCGTAGCGGTTATTGGCACGATGCCAACGGGAAACTCGTCCGAAATTGCTTTCTGAGTCATGCAGAACAAGGGCTTTTTTTGCAGGATTTTATCGTTTCACTTTGCTTTTCCGCCATTTTCCCATTGTATAGCGCTCCTGCTAACACCTCAGACCGAGGTCTAAATTATCGTGCCTTATGTCTTTAGAGCTTGAGAGGTGTTCTAACGAAGAAGTTTTACAGTTATTTGTATTTTTCACCTTACTGCTTGTATTGTCAATGTTGAAAGTGACTTTCAAAGTGCTTGAACAAGCTCTAACATGCTGTCCTGTAGTTCGATCAGTTGAATGAAGCCACTCAAGACGTTTTATGCGAGCGCCAGCGTGCAGCGATTGACCTCAGTTGATAACGAATGAACCGAACCTATTCATAAGGCAGCGACGTAACACTTTATTGTTAAAGGCACGTCCGGCAACAACGGGCTTTATGTGGTTCAGATACTGATGTCAAGATGGTAAATAACAAAAAATTGGGGAAAAAAAGCACCGACAACCCGCCCGAAATGCCCCTTGTGAAACCCATGCTCAACCGCGCTTGTACGTGCACAAGGAAGAGCGTGGTTTGACGAGCTCTCACTTGTTGGTGCAAGGTCTTCCTTCTTATCACCTACTTCTCACCATTTGAAATCAAGAGGGTTAGTGGCGAAACAACCGCGCACCATCAAGAAACTTCAAAAATGAAAGTGGGTGTTGCCTTGATTAGTGGGCGAGACCGTGGCTTCGTCGCGAGCGGGCGGCGCTTTCCTCACAAATTTTTGAGCTACGAAAGTAGTTCATCCTCTATGTGCGGACAAACTACAAGGTCTGAAAAAGGCGTGTGCACGTAAAATGAACACTTCAAGTGTAGATTGTATTTTTTCTTATGAGAGCGGATGGTTATCCTTCTGTCTAGAAACGGAACGAATCTTTCGATTTGATGGGCTCAAAACAGGTGGTTTGACTCACATGATGCTCTCGCAAAATGCATTAGTGGCGCACTTTTCATGATGTATTGTTTTTGTTCATTTTTTTTCACTGATGCGCACATTTCCTCTCACTTCGGACATTTCCTTATGCTAATTTTGTTTTTATTTTCAGATAATGGCTGATATGGACGCTGATTCGTCATTACCAGTTCAGTCACAAGAGAACGGTTTGTGTTTAGTTCATAATTTCTTCAGTGTAATGTTTTTGTTTGTGAAATTCAAGTATCCTGTTTAGGCAGTAGCCATGAACACAATGATCAGCACGACCAGCAGGTCGAGTTTTCTGTAGAATTACCCCCAGCCACACAGCCAGAGAGCCAGGAAACAAACAGTGAACCTGCAGCAAAACCTGAACCAGAACCAGCTCCAGCTGCTGCTGCTGAGCCTGCTTCAGCTGCTGACGCTGCACCCCCTCCAGCTGCTGCTGTTGCTACAGGTGGTGCTACCCCTGGTGCTGCTGCCCCTGCTGCACATACTGAGGTAATGGTAGCCATGCCGGTCCTGCAGCAACACGGAGACGTAAGTGCAAAAAACTGTTGCTTTTTTTCGTCTGAGCCGTAAATTCGGTTTCTTACTTTCTATTCTATAGGTTTTTGTTGGTCCGGGATCGAAGCGTGAAGCACAACTGTTGGGTTTGGGTCTCACAAAGCTGAGCAGCAGAAGAAAGGATGATCTACACCTTGCAAAAAGATACGCTATGGACTTGTCAATCAAGCAAATTATGCTCCGACAACAGAAGGCTCATCATGAAAATGTACTATTTTTTTGATTTGTGGCTGATATGCTCATGAAAACTTTCGAATTTCAGCAACAAAAACAAGCGATGTATGCTCAAGCACTATCCCTTATGGCGCGTGTTTATATTGGATCGATTTCGTTCGAAGTTAGGGAAGAAATGATCAAAAAAGCTTTTGAAGTCTATGGACCTATCAAGAGTATTAATATGAGTTGGGATCCTACCACAGGTGTAAGTATTTCATATGTACTGATTTTTTCTTACTGGTTGATCGGCAGTGATTGTTGTTTTGACTGTTTCCCATTTTCAGCATCATAAAGGATTTGCATTCTTGGAATTCGACGTCCCAGAAGCTGCTCTTCTTGCACAGGAATCCATGAACGGCCAACTGATGGGAGGAAGGAATCTCAAGGTAACACCAGCACCAGGATAGCTATTTTCTGCGAATTTTTATATGTAGAAAAAAAAACAGGGACAGATGTGGTGTAGTAGTGAGATCTTGAGTGGGTGAGCTTTTGATCCCCAGAAATGCAACCTGCGCTAAGCGGGAATATTGGACGTTTCTTTGCGCGGCTGGTGCTCGTACCCTGAATATGCCCAGTAGAAAAACGTCTTTGTTTCCATGTAAACGCATACCACGAAGCGCTCCGGGGGTGGAATCCTTGAGCCGTCGCTCAGACCAACTCTCTCTCCACCCCGATGGTAAACTTGGTACCAGATCTTTCTCCTTGAGCTGTCTCATTAACGATGTGAAGAACTTGTGATCTTTACTTTACACTTGCTATTAGGTTGTCCGGAAAGTTCTCAGCGTTTTGTGTTTCACTTTAAACGATCATAACTTTCTTAATACTCATCGGATTTAATCGAAATAAGCACCGTTCGAATCAGCACACTTTTGCCAATGTGACAACAGTCGATAAATCCCATCAAAGAAAAACTGGGTGGTCGAGAATCCACGAAATCTACGAAGGCTTTTTTTGCCTGGTCCTAATTGATGAAGTAATTTTCCAGCAAGCAAGTT